CAGTTTATTAATTAAAGATGATAATTAGGGACTCCATAGTGGAACAATATTTTTTGTTCATATAGCAACTAAATTATGGATTATTCTTTCACAGAATTTTAAATTTAAAATAACTGAAGAACTGGGCAAGAAACTATCAGAGAAAACTGAAAGCCGTTGGAAAATAATAATTGTCTAACCTTAAATAATTGGGGCAACATTTTATTTAAGTTCACTTTACAAATTATAATCGTTTTTATTGAAAACTGATTACAAACTAGGACAGAATTTTGCCTTCACCTTAATGTACACAATAAATATTTATTTGTAGACATTCATTGACAATGATTGGCAAAAAACCATATGCACTTTAAGCCGCTGCTAGTCCCTCAAGCAGTATGCATAAAGTTTTTGCAATTATTTTACTCATCTATCCATTAGAAAGCAATCAATAACTGTCGATTGGTGGTTGCACAAAAAAGAAACCACACACATACATGCACGTATGTACATATATACCCGTATATGAAAATAAAAGTTAGAATGAAGCGAACTTTTTCCATTGTAGGGGCATTGCGCAGTCAACTAGTCTCAACTTTTGCCCGCTCACTTGTTTTACTTTCACTTTGCAGCAGTTTTGAGTGCTGGTGGTACGTTCGCATTCATTCATCATTGATAAGAAACATAATCAAGGAAATGAATGAATGGCTGACTGAATAAATGAATGAATGAGCGACTGAAACAAACACATACACATGCACACATCCACGCTCATACCCAACCCATATACACATGCTATACTACTTATACTATAATGCTGGTTGCCCGACTAACTGCCTGAATGTGTGAGTGACTGAATGAGTGAGTGAGTGAATGAATGAATGAATGCAGCGCTAAGCGCAGTTGACTTGCATTTCTGAGCTTGACTAACGCCATGTGGCAACTGTTTTTAAAGCCAAGCCAGCCCCAACCCCAACCCCAAACCCCAACCCCAACCCTTCTTGCACTTGTCACTGCACCCTTCAACATCATTCATCTCCATTTTGTTGCACTTGAAGTTTGTGGTTGGTGGGTTGGGAGCGGGGAGGGGGGTAGGTCATGTAGCTGGTGTGCAAGCTGTGTGGAAGCAAGTTACGCCTCCCATTGCCTTGACCACAAGTGCCACAGAAATGTTGCAGCTGGTGGGTAAACGAAAAAATAAAAGGCCCCACTTGCCGCGCCCTTATCCCGTAATTGCATCATCCAGCTGATACAATTAGACCCTTATTTACTCTTTCTAGATGCCAGCCGGCCCTGAAACACTTGAACAGCCACTTAAATGAGTTTTATTGTCGGAACTATTACAATAATTTATGAGCGCCACACACACACGCACACTGCCTCTTCAATTTCTGACCAACACCCCCCAAAGTGGTTTCCATACCCAATACGAGTATAATATATTTGGCGGTTTATTGAAAACGCATATATTATAATATTCCAATTTATTTATAATCCCTTCGGCAGCCACTGACGGCTTCAAGCAATCTGCTGCTCTAAGTTTAATTTGTTTAAAAAGTTTCAGTTTCAGTTTGGTGGCTCTTTTCAATGAATAATGCAAGCTTGTTGTTGCTGCTAAAATATTAGTAATTTTCATAACGTTTTAGGTATTTGTAGGATTTCAGTTTTGCACGGAATTGTTTTGGGCTATTTATGAGTTTGATTCCAAAGAAGCAAACGATGTAAATTTCGCGATGTAGAAAAGCCTAATACGACAGCCCTTTAGCATTAGTAGAAAAGTTCATGTGGAGATCAAAGATCATATTGTGAGATAAGGTCAGCTCGTCTAATTTAAAACATACATACGAATATATACTTATTTACCTTGCGATTTGATCAAAAGCAACTGTACGTTTTGTGCCTAAAGGCTGCTTCACAATTAGAATAGAAATAGAATAGAAATCAAAGCAGATAATTGCTTTAATGATGATATAGCTATGTGAAAGATTAATCGTTTTTCTTTCAATCTTTGCATTCCTCGTCATCCGTTTAATAGTTTTGCTTTGAAGGTGCAATGTTCCCGTCGTCTTTTGGACCGTGGCCTTTTGGTAGTCGCTGGTATAATTTTTTTTTTTTTTTTGTATTTAAGACTCTTTTGTGGAGCAGCAAGAAAGTAAAAGCGTGACACTATTGGTGACGTAGTTTAATTCAAATACATTTTATCGGTACTTGTATACAGATTGTATGTACTAGTTGAAGTTTCAAATGAAATCTTAACTGATATCCTAATAAGTAGCAGTATGTACATGACTATTAAATGCTTCCAACTTGTATCATAATTTAAGCATAAATAATTGGCCTCTCCATGAAAATCGACAGCAGAGCTTAGAATCTTCAGATTTTGCAGATAAGTCGCATTCAAATTTTTACTCCCAATAACTAGACAGACTAGATCATCATCTTTAAGCTGAAGAGACTCCAACAAAATTAGTACAAATTCTGGTTGTTTTCCTTTGTCATTGGGGAAAAAACAATCGAACTACAAAATTCACTTCGTCTGCATCGAAACTATGAAGGCCTTATAACAAAACATACAATATTATGAGTCCATGCCCTTAAGCCGCCAACTACTTATTTTTATTCTCCACTCTTTACTATTTACTTCTTTTTTTTCAATAATTAACAAATTGTTCGTGCGCGTTGCAAAAGTTAATTTGCATTTATTAGCATTGAAGCTCTGGCTATTTTTCAATTAACTTTACGATGACAATTCACTTACATAAAATGGAATTATAGCAGTACGAGCAAGTACCGATTGCTCATTTTAAATAATTTCACATTTCGATTCATTAAAACGAAAATTGGCACCGAAAATGTGAGCATTTTGCACCTAATATGATATGAAAATGAAGGGAAAATGCTTTGGGTGCCATCTGGGAAACGCTGTGCAGCAAATTCTCGCTGCCACACACACACACACACACATCGGGAGTGGGCGCCTGCAATTATGCTATGCAATTCAATATGTAAAAGCGACCAAAATCTCATGCCTTACACAATATGCATGCAAAATTAATGGGTCGGCGGGTAAACGTGAGATGTGTGTGCGCGTGCGTCTGTGTGTGTGTCTGGGTGTGGGTGTGGGTGTATGCGTGTGTGGGTTAAAAGTCAATTAGTCTAATTGCCCAAATGCAATGAGTGTCAATTTTAATGAGGCCAACGCACACAGCTACACACATACAAACACACGGTAAGAGCCCTGACCAACTTGACCAGAAATCCTGCGCCAAAATAATAATGATAAGCACAAAAATAAAAAAGTAAACTGAAACAAACATCTTTGTTGCAAGGCGCTCAACTGTAGTTGCTGCTGCTGCTGCTGTTGCTCCTGTTGTTGATGTTGTACAACATAATGCGCTCAGGCCCGAGCCTCCGTGTCATGTGTCAAAGGTTCATTTGTTTTACATTTTGTGCCAAGTTTTTGAAGAGTCCCCCCCCTTGTCTGAATGCCTGCCTGCCTGCCTGCCTGACTGACAATGAAACAAACAAGCGGCCAATGTCAACAGCCTGTCTCTGTCTTTATTTCTCTCTCCCTCTCCTCCCAACCCCCACTTCCTCATCATTTGTGTGTGTGGGTGGGAGGGTGTGTGTAACAGTTAAGTGCTCAAAAGCTGCTTTTCATTATGCCATTTGCAAACAGTACCAACAACAACAACAACAACATGAACAAACACCAATAATCATAAAAACAACAACAATAACAATAAGCTTAGTAGCTCTTGCAAAAGATACAAACACACACTCGCAACATACAAACAAGCAAACAGAACAGGCTGGAAAAAAAAAACTCGCTCACGCGAAAGAGGCTCGAGGAATAAAAAGGGCCGCTCGCAAACTTTTCACCTCAGTTGTTAATGGCCGCCAGCTTAGTGAACCGGGCATATGGTCAGGGATCCAGCACTAATTGCTGCCACCGATGTTGCCGTACTTAGCACTTCTTTTCAGTTATCATACCGCTCTTAAGTCTCCAGAAAAAAACCCAAACAACACGTTAAGGTCGTACCAGCCCGACTCTTGCATACTCTTGCCTACCCCAACTAAAGTCAATTTTTTCTTGGGCCAATCATTCCAATTACAACTATATATAGATATAGATAGATAGATATATACATAAATAGTGCACCAATTTTTATGAACAGATTATAATGATTATAAAATAGTTCTTGGATCGCTAGGATAGCTATGTCGTAACTCGTAATATCGTGACGTATTAATTGCCTGAGATAGCTTTTTAAACAAGAACTTTATTCTACTAGAAATGATTTTCCCACCGATCGGTCCTCTGACAGATATAAACAATAGTTTTACTATGTGTGGCTTGCAATAATCATGCAATGCATATAGGTGATATAGGACTACAGAGCAAGATTGGCGTTCCTAACTGTTATAGGTCAAAATTTATCGAGGTTCATACAGACGGACAGGCGAACGAATAAACGGATGGATGGACAAGCAAATGTATATCGATTGGTCTTGTCATGCTGACTATGTATGTACATATATCATGATATATAACGCTCTCTTCTAACTGTTCATACGATTGCCATTTACATTTTTTTTATAGCCTTTAAATTTTCCGACTGGTTAATATGTAAAGTTATTTCCGGACAAATTTGCGTTTATTCAAAGGTAGGCATTGATAAGTAAGTTCCAGAAAAGTGTTTTGTATCGAAAAATTATATTTTAGTATGGAGTTCTAATTGATTTTAATTAAAATAACATTATATTCATGACATGCTTGTGAAGTTCGATAAATTTGTGTGCAATCGATAGCATCGTTTGTTTCATTGCTGGACTTAAACGATTATCGAAAATCAGTTCTGATCTGATGAGTTGACAAAAAAAAAAAAAAAACTCAAACGAATGCCCTTTGGGTGTAGAGTATAAAATTTAATTTAGGGCCAAGCAGGCTACGCACTTCGAGTCAGTAAATTTTTTGCACAACACGCATTAAAACATTTTGTTTCGACACACACGTTTACCAAAAAACACAAATAATTTTTTTTTTTTAACAATACCGGCAAAACGAAATTTCTAAACCAAGTTCTTCTAAATCTTGAAACGCGCATCTAACTCAAGCAACAGGAAGCATTAGAGCCCCAGCAACGAAACGGAATTGACAGCAACTCTCACAGAAAGGAAAGAAAGAAACTCGAGTACTTAAATTCGAGTCGACCGTTCAACAATTAGGAAGGTCAAGTGCAGTCGAGCAAGGAAACGCTGGACTTTGTCGTCGGTTAACAAAGGGAGAGGGCGGCGCAAAGGAGTTAAACGTAAGTATGTGTGTGTGTGTCTTAAAATTATGTGCAAATTAATTCGGTTAATGCCCTGCAAGTTTTTTTTTTTCTAAAGAGGAACTACCCCAAACACCAAACAGCAGCATATCTATGCGTAGCAAGCAAATGTTTCGAAAAATCCTTTAAGTCCCTGGGAACTGTAATTTCTGTTCAACGTTAATCAAAGAATGAGATGGAGTGAGACAGAGAGAGAGAGAGAAAGAGGGAGCGTGTTAGTGGGAGGGAGGTAGTTGTGTTTGATGTTTTGGGGTCGCAAAGGCTGCCCTAAAAATACAGACCCATTTATGCTGGCTCCTCGCCTAAGCAATGCATAAATTACGCACTGTAATTGAATTAAAACCAATTTGCACGCTCAACCAATGGCCCCACAATAGCTTTTACTATTACTGTTACTGCCACTGCGAGTCCTAGTGCTAGTGCCAGTGCCGCCTCCACCACAGCACGGTCATCATCGATGTCCGCCCTCCCCTTTTTTTCTGTGGACTTTAGCAGTTTTCGTTGTTTCCTGCAAACATCATCACACACTGCACCATCAGCATCAGCATCGCCCAACCTGGTCAGCGGACTGTAAAGAGCTGGAACTCATGATGGTGCCGAGGTCTAGTAGTTATGGGTTAATCAATCCCACGTTGCGGCTGCGCTTGAAATGTAGAGCCCTTTGTTTGGTGACCCCTTCAAAATAAACCAATTGAGTGCCTAAGCAGCCCATTTAATTAGACACTTTTTATTTGCAGTATCATTTTGTTAAAACCTTTATCTAAGCCTCATCATCTTTCCATATCTTAACAGTATTAACTACTGGCGAACCATTTATTTAATATAACATTTGTAAATAATTTTGGTAGCTTTGAAGGAACATTTTATCATCTAACAGGTTAAATCTGCACTTCTTTGTCTTCAACGTTTCAAGAGTGTTGTAAGTAAGTCTCTAAACAATAGAGATCTGTATCAATCTTAAAGACTAAATCTATACTTTTACACAATCTTTTTAAAGCCTTAATCTTCGTCATCTTTTTATATCTTAACAATATTAACTATTGTCAAACAATCTATTTAATATTAAATTTGTAAATAATTTTAATAGTTTGAAAGGAACATTTCATCATCTAACATGTTAAATCTGCACTTCTTTATCTTCAACAGTATCTTCATCATGTCTTTAAAGTCTAAATCTATACTTTTACATATCTGTTTAAAGATTAACTCTACACTTCTTCGTCTCTTAACATCTTATCAGCATTCACTGTTGTAAAAACTCTACATTTTCTCTCTTTTCCCAAATCTAACAACACTCTTTTTATCATTAAAAAAAGACAATGCCCAATTTGTTTTTTGATTTTTGATTTCTATTTGTTTCAGAGCCCACGACAGACACACGAACAAGCTGTAGTTATTCCAGAAGCTATACTGTTGCCACACATTTATTGAACCCACTAAATTTCGCGTATCATAGTAGCCTGTACGATTGAAAAAAGGTAAATAATTCTGTCTGGTTTTACGTTTAAAAAAGTTCGGATATACACAAAATAACATTTTTAAAAAATACATTTTCGACACAGTAGGTTTTAGAAAAGCCGCCATTTATTGAATTTTAAACAGTTTTTGTTTTTAAAATTTTAATTGTTTTGCTTACACTTTGCTCAAAAATTAACACACTTCTCGGTTCAAGAAAATAACAAAATTTTTTCAAGTTTATTTTTGCTGAAACTCGAACAAATCTGCAATACCCATCAACCCATTCAATTCTTTGCTAGCATCCATTCAAGTGAGCCATCCAAATTCGAGTAGTCCTGCTGAGGACACCCCACGCCTAAACGCGCTTCAACACTTCAACCCACAACTGTAATCTAATCGCAACACCACAACGGCAAGAAGATCAGCATCCGGAGCCGAATCAATATGAAGCCTGAGCAAATCAATCGCATAGTGCGTGCCAATGGTGGACGACTGCCAAACTGGTTTTATCGCCAGTCCAATGATTTGTACGAAAACACAATAAGGACATACATCGACCGTGCTTCCTCACTCGGACCCTTCATTCAAGGTAAGTGAAAGAATACCCTACGAAAGAAATCTACCAAATGAAAAACTTTCAAAAAGAGACATCTTAAGCAAAGACGGTTGCCTTGTTTGTAGGCGCAACAATGCGAAAAGGTTTCTGGTTTATGGATCTTAGGAATATTAAATTGACAATCTTAAATGTTTGTGCTCTCTCTCTCCTTCTCTCTCTCTCTCTCTCTCTCTCTGACAGATGCACGTGATCAGAAACGACAGGAGAATGTGGCACCCGTGCGCGCCCTAATCCAATCGGAGCGTGAACGTCGGAACAATAGCAGCAGTAGTAACTACGCTGGGGGTTACCCGCGCACCGCTAAGCAGCAACAGATGATGCTTCAGGGTCAAGTGACGGTGGCACCGTTCCAACGCATGATAAGCACCAGCCGCCGTCGATCTGCATCCGTTAGCATGGGCGGCATAACCAATTATGACATCAGAGGCCAACCCATTATGAGTGCCAGCAGCTCCAGCTGCTCGAGTGGCAACCAAACCGATGACTCGATGAACCGCAATCCAACTGAACTGACTATGAGCAGTCTTGGGGCTCGCTCCCTGAGCATGCCACCGCGTGCGACACGCAACAAAACTGTACCGCGACGAGGGCAATCGGAGCCAAATAATCATATCCCGCTAGACGGTATAATACCGCCCGGTCGGCGTCATCACATGAACGCTGTACAAAAGTCTTCCAATGCCGCCAATCGCCACAATTCCCAAAATAGGGAGGATAGCGATGAGGACACTGATGTCGACCAATTGATGGTCGTCGATCAGGCGTTGCGTGCTCGTCTTGCCGTGCGCTTCGATCGGCCTGTGGAGGAGGCCCAAATGCCCCGTTTCCGTCTCGAGGGCATCAAGGAGGCGCCGAGGCGTCAAGGGCCGGCCTTGCGGCTGCGAAACTTGCGTCGCGTCAAGGCCGAGAACAGTCTGCTGGTGGACCCCAAGCCATTCGACTCCTTTGGCGAGCGCATGCGCCAATTCAACTACATACAGTTTGCCGATGGACCTGTCAATACGCAAGTGTTCGAGCGGCGGCGGGACACGCGATCGATACAACAGCCCCAGCATCAGCTTTCTCAGCGCATGTCTCAGCCTAATCTGGTGCAGTCGGAACCGGAACTACAAGAGCGACTGGAAGAGCTGACGGCGCGCACGCGGCAACGCAGCATTTCTCTGGCCAGCTCCCACGTGCGAGACCCCACTGTGCAGCAGCTGCTGGCCAATGAGTCGGCATTAACAGCGACGAGACAGCAACGTCGCAACCGAGGCGGCTCCAAACAACGGCATGATGATCGGCAACGAACGGACTATGCCAACAGAGACTGGAGTCCTGATGCTCCCGAACGTGTGGGGCGGCAACAGCGGCGTGAGGGGCGGCAACAGCGGCGTGAGACCCAGCAGCATCAGCTGGGGCTGCGCCGCCAGCTCCCGATCGAGCACCGACCCTATCAAGAACCTCAACAGCAGCAATTACAGTTACAGCAGCACATGCAACAGCAACAGTTGTTGCATTTGGACCGCCCCCGCAACTTTGCAGAGGTGGCCAATGGCGAGAGACGTCCATCTATGCACTCCCAGAGCCATGTGCCACCCATGAAGCCGCAATATGAGGGACACGGCAAAGTTCACAAGCACATAGCTGTCAGCAACACGCCCAGCAGAAGCGCCCTCAAAAAGAAACAAGCCAAACAGCAGATGCTCAAAGACATGGATCCCTACAAGGCGGACACAACCAACAACCTAAGTCGCTCCAGTCGTCAATCCTATATGCAGAGATCGGCTGGCCCCAGCAGCTCACGGCTCAGCATCCGACCACCACAGGCTAAGCCCAAGAAGCAACATAAGAGCTCGGAGCTAACCGCCACGTCCAGCAGCAACTTGGCACCCAACCAATTACTCCTCTCCAGTGCCTCCAAGGTTTCAGCATTCAAACTGGCCCGCAAAACCCAACAGAAACAAGAGAACGCCGAGCTACTGCATCAGCAGGCGCAACAGTTGCAGCAGCAGGCCAGTGAACTACCGTTGCGCCGCTATCAGGCAGAGTCCAACGCATCCGCAGCCCATCCGATCAGAGCAGAGCAGAGCTCGACCACGCCATCGTTGCAAGTCTCCTCGCATCGCAATGCCAATGCAACGGCACGTAAATTTGAGTCGACGTCGCCGGCGCCGACTGCACGCAGCAGCAGCCTTACATCCAGAACCACCAGCGCGAGCGGCAGCAGCAGCTATAGCCTCAAGCTAAAGATGAACAATAAGGCTAAGGCGGGCGCTGACAAACCGACCAGTAAGCCGAGCAGCAAACAGCCAAAGATTAAGCTGATGGTGCCACCAATTCAGCCACCAGTTCCGCAAACACTTCAGGGCTCCCAAGAACAGCAGAAGCAACTTAAGAAGCAGCAGCAAGAGAATCAGCAGCAACAGCAGCTGAATAAATGCAGTTTGCCGAACAAATCACAGACCGCTCGCTCCCAGCGCAAGACCTTAACTGCCGATACTGAGCATCTGGAGCAACCGGGTAAGAAGAAGCAATTGTCGCCACAGCAACAGCATCAGCAACAACAGGAACGTCTCATGCACGAGCATCTGCAACAGGAGGAGTCAGAGCTGGCCGAGCTGGCACAGATGCAGCCGCACCAGCGCAAGCTATGGGATTTGACGAAATCCAAGCAGACCGCCGAAGAGCAGCAAAAGCAGCAGCAGCTGCTGCAGCCACAGCTACAGTTGCAAGCGCAGCAGCGAGAGCGTCAGGGACAGGAGCATCAGGGACAGGAGCGTCAGGAACTGGAGCGTCAGGAACTGGAGCGTCAGGAACGATCACAGCAGCGTGGACGACGCCAGGAGACACAGAGCTCGGCACGCTTGGTCTACACTCGCGAGTCGGCCAGTCAGATGCACGCAACGCTGCCACCTCGCGACGAAGCGGATGCTAACCAGGAACAGCGGCAACATAACCAGTATGTGCATAGGCGTGCATGGCATCCGGGCTTTTAAGCTAAAGGCCATAACCGTGCCATACAACAACACCAAACACAACCTGACACCAATCGAGCAGCACTCAAAGGAGAGGTGAGACGAATTGCAGAGACACATTGGAGGACACAAATCAGGAAGCCTATGACTTGACTTACCTAACCGGACGCGACTACGGGAGAACCCCTTCAAAACAAATCAACTAGAAATTCAAAAAACAATCTGTTTTTAAAAACTCGACTTAAATGAAGAAGTGGCTATCCCATACCGGACAGTAACAGATAGGGAATGAGTGCCTAACATGATTAAAAAAAAAGAGAAGAAAACTCTTCCCTTAATAACACGGACTTGACCCCCACCGAATGCGACTGAAGGATATTTAAAAAAAAAAAAAAAAATAATCATCTACCCCACACCGGCAATGACCAACGGAGAGCCCCTAAGTATACGCTGGCTGCATGAAAACAGGATTCCTGAACCAACCAGCCAGCATGCGATCTTAGGAGTGCCCCCAAACACAAACACCTCGAGTTCCCAGTGGATACATTTCTATCGAAAGTATTCCAAACTGTCGGTAACCCCACTCGCCAACGGATGCGTATTGCAGTGACAAACAGTGCGTCCGTTTTGTTTTCGTTTTCATTTCTATGTAAGGCCTCCTCATCAGCGGACAAGCAACGGCAACAACTACAATTACAATTACAATTATATGTGGAATTGCAATTAGATGGCAGTTTGTACACACACACACACGCATTCACAGCGCAAAGGAAACAACCTATTTCGTAGCAGACCTAACTGTTTTGTGTTTAGCAAACTGAATCACCTACACATACAAATAACATATAGTACATATTAACAAACAACATTCCGCAAATAAATTGTATTCCAAATGAAAATGAAACAACAAAAACCCGCCAACAACGTTTCAATGTCTCCACGTGGCCTTTCATAGGCGATTAGAGTGATGTCTGTGACTAAATCACTGTTATAAACAGCTTACAGATAAATCTATGCACGTGCCATTGTCACAAATCGCAACAAAAGACAACAAATGTTCTTGAAATCGAAAATTAATACATGAGAGTGATGTGAGTAACTAAATCACTATCAGAAACTTCTAACAGATAGATCTCTACTCGCGCCGTTGTCACAAAATGGAAACCACAACAAATGTTGTTAATCAAATCGAAAATAAATATATTAGGGTCATGTCTGTAACTGAATTGCTTTTAGAAACCTCTTTCAGGTAGGTCTCTGATATGAAAACCGTAACAAAAGACAACATTTGTTGTTCATGAAATCGAAAATGAATATATTAGAGTGATGTCTGTAATTGAACTGCTTTTAGAATCCTCTTTCAGGTAGGTCTCTGATATGGAAACCGTAACAAAAGACAACATTTGTTGTTCATGAAATCGAAAATAAATATATTAGAGTGATGTCTGTAACTAAATCACTGTTGGAAACCTCTAATAGATAGATCACAAATCGCAACAGAAGACAAAAAATTTTGTTCAGAGTATTAGAGTGATGTCTGTAACTAAATTACTTTTCGAAACCTCTTTCTGGTAGATGTCTGATATGGAAACCGCAACCAAACCCCACAACACATGTTGTTTATTAAATTATATATTTATATATTTTGTTGTATCTTGTTCACATAACTTACAGGCCGGTGGCCTCTCTTTCATTTAAGCAGGCTAATTGCCTCTCTCATTAAGGTAAGTTTTCTCTTGAATAATATGACAAGAGAGCTGCCTGCGAGTAGGCAGAGTATTACGGAAATGCGGAACAACAGAGCAAACATTATTTGTGGGACATCCTTTCCATTCCTTCCACACTTTTTTGTTTCAAAAGCGTCTCTTCTCGGCGGCATCTTCCCTTAACTTAACTCTTTCGGCAAAAATGTACGTTAAATTGAGAGTTACGTCTAACTTTTTATATTTAACTTTCGTTTTGTTAGATGGTTCCCTCCAGTTGCCTTTAATATAGACGTGTTTGTTTTGTTCTGTAAAGTGGAAAAAGGGTCTAACTTCAAAAATTTATCGACTGCCTATCCTAAATCCTACCTAACACATATCTATTTGTTAAATTGTGAGAATTGGATTTTGAAAAGTTAAATATAAAACGTTCACGCCAAGAACCACCGATGAGACCGAACCAACCAAACAAAACTGAGCGTCATCTTTATTTTTGAGTAATCAAGCACCTACTTTTTATTTTCTTATTTATTCTCTGATTATTCTAAAGAAGATTTTATTATATTCTATTTCCACATTTCCATAATATATCTTCAACACTATATTAACTTGAAAAACGCAGTAATTGTGCATTTACCCTTGGAAAAATATCTTATAATTATGTAGTACACCTAATTCTGTTTTTACACATTAGAGTGGTTCCATAAAAAGTCATGTAAAAAACCGTGTAAAAAAAGTCATTGATCATATACTATTTTGAATCGTGCTAAATGGAATAAAGTCGTGCAACCATATATAAAATTGTTTTTAATTTTCAAACCGTGCTAAGTCACAACCGTGTAAAAACAGATTTAGGTGTATATACTACTGTTATAGGCATGGGTTATGCCTTAATATTCCACAATAAAGTAACAGTATCTTTTCTCATATATTGTCATTGTTTGACTTTAAAGGTTATCCTTTATTTAAATGTTGAGTTTCGTGAATTATTCTTTCATATTGAAATCCCAGTCACAGTCGCCAAGTCACGATCTTGTCACAGTATTGCGCATCTTTAGCTGCCATGGAGTCAATATGAAAACACTAACAGCAATAGAAGCGCTCAAGCATTTACCAAATGCTAATTTCAATGCCCGCTGGCATAAGCACTCACACACACACACGCATACTTTGGCATTAATTTTTCATGCAGATTTAACCGTTACATAACGAATCGACCAGACGACGCCGCGAGCGCCGCAAACGCCGCCGCCAAAGCTTCTTGCCCGATAAGCCGCCATTGCAGTCGAAATCGGAATCGAAATTGGAGTCGGAGTCGTCCTCTCGTCTCCGTCGTCAGCGTATCCGGAGCAGGACACAAAAAACGGGAAGAAAATGGCGACTGCGGCGCAGGTTGTGGCTGTTGGTCTGTGAATTGTTGCCGCGCTTTTGATAAATGATGATGCGCCCCACATGACAGCCTCTATAAGCCCTAACAACACCCACCCACACACTCATACACACGCACACACACACACACACACACCAACCAGGCAGCCTGTCGGACGAACTCACAATGGCAAGCGCTAGATAGACAGGCACACAAACATACAAAAATTGATAGATAGGGGAATTGCTAGCTGGCCAGCTAGATGGATAGATTGCCAGTTTGACAAACGAACTATTGATGCAAAAAAATATATATATTCATACATACTATATAGAGCATCACAGCAACAACAACAACCACAACAAGCAGTAACTGCGACGTCACTATCATGAGCGCAGGGCTTATGGCAGGCGAGAAATAGTTGTACAGAAAAACCTCACGATCTATGTACATGTCTGTCTGTCTGTTTTTGGTAATAAAGGAATTTGTTGGAATTTGACATGAACATGGCTTTCATGCGGATTGCGGACATAAAGCTATAAATATGATTGCCAAGGATGGGGGCCAGAATTGGAGACAGAGAGCTAGACTAACGACATACAAGTATGCGTTCATATCGGAGCAATGCGGATAAGTACTTATAATGGTTCATTCTACATGTGTCGTCACTTTATTTTCACCTTCTTTTCCATATCCAATTCCCATTAACATCGAAAATAAAGTTCGATTTCGAGCGAGAAATGTTGGAAACATTTCAAGACGTTCCTTTGGCTCATTGTTGTCCTCATTGAATTGTGGAGAACGAAGAGAGATGTGATTTCTGGAATCGCTGCTCATACATATCCCCTAAGCGGAGCCATATATAGCTGATTTAATTATCAATTTCTGTAAATTTTTTCAGGCGTCAAAACTCTGTACGATTTGTTGACATAAATCACGAATGAATGGCAAGCCACGCGCCCCCTCATTATCAAAATGCAACACATTCATAAAATTTCGATTTCTAATAATAATCTACAGATTTTTTGTTTACAATAAAAAAAAAAGATATTTCTACTAAGCTTGCGTGAGAAAAAAGACAAAAACTTTGCAAATGTTTTAAGACACATTTCAATAAACGTACAACTAGTTTTTTTCTTTTTTAAACAACATACGAACAACACCCTCGGCCAGGAAAGAAGCTCCCTCTCTATCTCTCTCGATTGAAACAAAGCCGCTTATATAAACTGCCCCCACATTGAGCCTAAATTTAAGCAAACGCATTAAAAGAGGGCTACAAAAAAAAGAAGCAGAAAATTTCATTGGCATAAATAAATAAAAATCAAATTAAATTAATTCCGTACAAACGAAACGAGCAGCAAAGCGTCTCCATCTCCATTTCCTTCAAATAAAGCGAACTGAGGCTGAGGCTGAGGCTTACAAGGCAGACAAGCAGTTGGTACACACTCACACACACATACAAGCCACACATAAAGGGCTATAAAATTAAATCAAATCAAATCAAATGCGCATATGTATGCCGTTTTATGAGCGGGAGGGAGGTGCTGCCAATGCCAGCAATGGCCAGATCCCGAACCAGCTCCATTTCCAGCTACAACCCCAGCTAGTCAGTGTGGCAGCTCAACTGCAGCACAAAAGTGAAGCGCCTGCCGAAAGGATTAAAGAAAACCACACAAAAGGACTTGGCAACGTGGACACGAAAGCCAAACCCAGTAGCAGGCAAAGGCATCAGCAGCAGGGAGAATGCACAGTGGGATATTTTCAAAAATCTCTTAATAGATTTGATTTTCTGCAAAATTATATGTATTTAAAATATCTACAGGCTTGTGCTTAATATTGGTGCGTGTTATTAATTGGGAACTATTAAGAGAATAACTTTGGAAGGTTGAAAAAGTAGAAAGCCTGCCATGGTTAAGGAATGTGTATTATAAATAACAGAATTGAAAGTACACCTCTTCATTTACTTTGGGATTTGAAGTAACAAATAATTTACTTAAAAGTGGCAAACGTTTTTAGCCTATTAGATAAAAAAAAAAAAATCAATTACCACGCCATTTCTTCAGTTGCATATTTAATTTGATAGCGAGAACATGAATGCAGCACAACGCAGTGTTCTCTTCAAACTGTAGAGATATATCCTTTTCCGACAGCTTTGTGAGAAATATCGTACTCTTCTGCTGATTTGAAGCAGATGCACAACAAAAATTAAGGTTGTCTCGCTTAAATGTAAAGTGACTAAAAGTCGAGCTGGTGTTAACGTACACAATAGTGTTGCTTGTGCCACTCTTTCATCCAAAATCGACGACTTTCAGATTTATTTATCACGTGCTCAGGGAACTAATGCCACACCGGAAAAAATGTTATCTTACAATGACATTAAGAGAATGCGTTACAAAAAAATGTCATGACTCCAGAACGCATGATCAACCCGTGTGCAGCCCGCAGAAGATTTTTGGAATTTTACTCCAAAAAGTAGGCAACATTTTTATTTTCAATCAGCTAAAAATATTTTATTGCTATTTATTATTAATTTTTATTTTTATTTATTATTAATTATTATTATTATTATTGTTATTAATTATTACTATCATTATTTATTATTATTCATTATTATTTTTTATTATTCATTATTAATTGTTATTATTTATTATTATTTATCATTATTTATTTTTATTGATTATTATTTATCATTATTTATTATTAATTATTACTATTTATAATATTATTTATTATCAAATTAAATATTGAAATAAGAATGTTTCAATTCAACACTTCTCGTGTTGAATTTGTTTTTAAATCCACTTTTGCGCCAGCTGCTGAAAATTGCAGGTTTTCTACGAT